CCACCCACACCACCCACCCACACCACTCACAGCACCCACACCACCCACACCTCTTTGCGTCTCCACTGTTGTTGTTTCTCCGTTTCGGCATTTTTTACTACTTATGTTAACTTATGTTAACTTTTTAGCTAACTTACTTAACCTCCTAGTAACATCTATATCTTAACTTAAGCCCAACGCACAATCTTAGTCTTTGAATTTGTGATTTCGGGGTTACAGGGTTTCGGGTTTTGGGGCTTGGCATTCGGGGTATATAATAAAAAGAATACGAAAAGTAACGAGAATATCTGCTCTTCTTCTCATGCTAGGAATGATGCCTGAGGGTTTGACGTTGAGGATGGCTTCAGTATTTGGGCTTCATGGGCCACCAGGACTCTCTCGCTCTCTCTCTCTCTATATATATATATACACATGCACATGTACACACATATATATATATACAGTCTTTTGATTATATGTATTAAGATATGTTTCGTGTTGTTATTGTTTGTATTGTCATCGGAAAGGATTTGCTAGAAGTCCGGGTGTTTAGGAGCTGTGGTGTTCAGGGACCTGGGATTCAAGCAGCTTCGTCGAGGAGCTATAAAAACCCTAAACCCTATAATCCCCCCCAAACCCTAAACCCTATATAAAACCCTATAAACCCTAAAATCCCCAAACCCTAAACCCTAAACCCTATATACAACCCTAAACCCGAGAAATGCCCAGAAGCCCACGCCCCAATCCGTGAGGGGGAGGAGAAGAAGCAAGAGACGGAAGATGCGGCAAAGGCTGCAGATGAGGAGTCTGCTAACAGGGCTCCTTAAGAGGATCTAGGGGTTTAGGGTTTAGGCTTTAGGGTTGGGTTTGGGGTAATTAACGATTTAGGGTTCAGGGTTTAGGGTTTGGGGGTTGCACACGTCCTGATGCAAAAAAGGGTTTGGGGGTTTCTAAACAAGGTTTATACGAGGTCTTCTTGTTCTGTAGTTGTCCGGAGTGCAAACTGAGATGATGTCCAGCTCGTTCAGGTTTTACGAATATAGGCGCATACATGTACGGATTCCACTTCGAGGTTCCAGAGCCTTAGGGTGGTTAGGGATATCCTGGGATTGGGTTTAGGGTTTAGGGTTTAGGGTTGGGATTCCCTAAACTAAACCCTAAGCCTTCGACAATGCTGGCAAGTTTCTCCTTACTGCTACAGCATTACGGAAGCCCTCAGCCCCAGACGCTGCCAGGCAAGCAAGCACGCAACGTCCGAATCTTCTGCTGTTTGTCATAGCAATCTCATACGGGGCCCTCGTTTCAATCAATCCTCGAATCTGAAACGCTTATTCGAGCACCCTAGATGCCTGTCTATAGACTGCATCAGAGACCCGACAACTTTTTCAACAACAGACATCGTAACATTTTACAAGAGATGCGAACACCCCAGACAGGGGCAACTTCCATCGATAAAAGTATCTTTTAAGCCCTATAACGACTAGTCACAGTAGAGGGTGTGTATACCTGATAAATGCATAAAAAACAGGCATGTAACAATATGTACATCATATCAATAAGTCAACCAAGAAGTGTGCATATATATATATATATGTATATATATATATATTCATATGTATTTATACTTCGGGCCATTTAAGAACCTATTTTATTCGTACTTGAGCCCCAAGGGGAGATGGGATCTTGAGCGGTGGAGTCTCTGGGCTGGAGGAGCGAGCAAAGCAGATGCGCAGCGATGGAGTGCCCCCGGACAGCAGACCTTTGAGGTTGTTGTTGGGTTCATTCTTGGGGGTTAAGGGTTGTAAGGAATTAGGGTTCAGGGGATTTCAGTTTAGGGCTTAAGGGCTTTGTGGATTAGGGTTTGGGGGGTTCCAGTTTAGGGGTTAAGGGCTTTCGGGATTTCGGAATTAGGAGTTTCGGGTTTAGGGGCTTTAGGGGTTAGGGGTTTAGGGCTTGGGGGTTTGGGTTAAGGGTGGCCCTTCATCAAGAAAGCAGTGCCCTTCAGAGCTTCATGGCTTTAGTGTTTAAGTTTGCGGATTCGGGGTGTAGGAGCCTTTGAGCATACAGGACTGTAGGTTGCAGGCTTGTTAGTAGCTGGTAGCAGTCCAGGGTAGCCAGTGAGAAGGCAACGGTAACAGCAACACGCACACACACACACATATATATATATATATATATGTGTATGTACGTATGTGTGTATGTATGCATGCATGCATGCATGCATGCATGCATGCATGCATGCATGCATGCATGCATGCTGCATGGAGGTATGTATGTATGTATGTATGTATGTATGTATGTGTGTGTATGTATATGTATGT